GGGGGGGGGGGCAGTGGCAGGGAGGGCATCGTCTCCAAAAGCACTGCCATGGCTCTGTGCAAACAGAGTGGCAACAGGTCCCGCCTGTAAGCACTGGTTCCAAGAAGAGGCTCCCAGACAACCCACCATACAACTAAGCAGAATGGAAAGAAACTGGAGGCCCTAAGTGAACCTGTCACCCTGCACCCTGGCATGCTGCCAAATACCCTCCAAATGCCTCTATTACCCCATGACCAGAGCAAAGACTCTGAAACAGAACAATCCCCTCTTCCTTATCTGCTTGCTCCAAGCAGGTACAAACCAGAACACGATCGATTCATTCACATTTCTCTGTAATTCTGAAGGACGAACAAAGTTGGACAGAGCCTGGGATGTCACCACGACCACATCCCCTGCAACGAAATACAGACTGTGACCAGAAGCTCGGTTATGATCATCGGAGGATTCCAATTCCACCGTGCTAACCCTGTTCCAAAGAGACATCAGAATAAACTCGGGGAAGAGCAAGTTTCCCTCCAGGCTTCAAGGATCCACCTGATAATCATACAGGTGTACTTCCACAGGCTCGGGCATTCTATGCCACCGTATACCAGCCTCCACATAACAACCTGCCCGGCCTGATCAACAAGGAAGCAGGTACTTAGGAGGCTATGAGCCAGAGAGCAGGAAGGGTAGGAGGCAAATGGTTATCTAAGCTGCTTCCTATACAATCAGGGGAGAAGAACCAGCAGACAGTAGGCAGGTATCCATAGGAGACAATCTAGGACTGCCCTCAGTTGTGGGAATCAGCACTTTAAACCTTATAAACCTTCTTATTGGTTCCCTAAGACGATCAGGGGAGAACCGCCCCACATCGCAGCAAAGTAGAAAGGCAGAGATCCACAGAAACACCTGTTAAGACAGACTCTACGTTCGACCCAGGACCTAGTAGAAATCAGATCACAGCCCTGGTCTTATCTACAGGGACCAGACTAAATAAGGCACCCTGCAAATTATATTACACAGCATATAAAGGAGCATAAAAGAAATGAATCTATAAACCCAGTAGGATGTCCAAAATAACTGCCAAGCCCGAGAAGCACAAGCCGCCCAGATCACATCCAATTCCGAAACAAGGCCGTGCCCGAAGACATCATCCAATTCCAACAAGATAGTCGACTCACCATTCACGGTCTTCAGGCTCCCAGCAATGCCTTCCCCGTGCTGCCTCTTCTGGGCATTCTTGAACTCCTTCAGAGACAGATAGAGGACTTTCCGCACCACCCTTTCTTCTGACCATGGAATCCCATCACTGTCATCCTGCAGAAACAGGAAAGAGAGAAGGGAAAGCACTTAACACAAAAAGCAAGTAAATATGAAGAATCAAAAGAAACGTTAAAGAAAATTCCAAAGTATCAGAGCGAGATGCACTTCCAGGGGATCACGTCATCCTGTGGTAATGGTTCATTCAGCACGACCTTCCTGACGTCTGGAGAGTCCCCAGAAAAGCTAACCCAAGGACCATAAAAGGGGGTGGAAAGACGACCACCAGCTCGCCTCCTTTACAAACCTTTACGCCCACATACCCTCATTAACCAGTAATACTCAAGTTCTATATTCCTGGCAACATTTCGAAACAGGAGTTCGTACCCCCGAAAGCACAGGTGTAATGAACCACTGTACTGGAGTGTCTGAGGAATTCTGGGACGTGTGCTGCCTCACACATATGCGCCGCACTCTTTTAGGAACTGCTGCCGTTGGCACTGGGGGCTAGGGGGTTGGTGCTGCCTTCAAAGAATTTACAATTCGGTCAGAAGAAGTGAAATTGGATCTGTACTGACCTCTTAAGGAAATGAGCCCTGAATGAGAGAGACCGAGCACAGCAGAAAAGGGCAATGGATCCTGGCGGAGCAGAGAACTGGGAGGCAGGGGCAGGAGGTTTGGGAAGGGGTGACGTAAAGAAAACAAAAAGAAGAAGAAGAAATACACACAGGTTAATAACAGGTCTTTAAGGTCTAATTAGCGTGGCTCCCTTAGGTCTGTGGTATCAGATGCAATGCAAGTTCTGGAGAGGAACAGAACAAGAGAAGGCCAGGTTGGGCGGGTTGGGGGTGGGGAAAATCCCAACAACCAGCAGCCAGGCCAGAGACCATCCGAGCCATTCCAGTAGTGGCCACAGAAAAACAGAGGACAATCCAGAAGCGCCAAGAGGAGGAGGGGAGGGCGCCAACCAGCAGGGAGACCAGAAGCTACATCTAGAAACATGGAGATGGTGGGTACCAGGACGAAGTGGAGGCAATGGTCTCAGGGAACCAGCAAGAAGGTCTGTAAGGCTCAAAGCGCCGATTCCCATGGCTAAGGACAGTCCTAGATTCTCTCCTATGGATACCTGCCTACCGTCCACTAATCGAAGATGTCCTTATGTTCACATACTTGCTTCGAAGACTTAAGCATTTGATAATAGTTCAACTTAGAGAACGAAGGATCGGAGCTTCTCAGATCCTTCGGGCCTTAGGAGATCAAGGCAAATATTAATGCCCTGGGTAAATGCAGGAAGGCGAATCTTGGATACTTCGGGTTCCTTTTGCTCTAACGGAAGACCTCAAGAGTCAAGCCGGCACTGTTGTCCTGCATGTCCGACAGAACTGGTTTCTCCTCCCGTAAAAGCTCCCTGGGACTAGGTAAGGGAGCCAGATGACCGGAGGTCTTTTCCAGCTCTTAAACTCCTAAATTCTGCGTCAACACAAACTACATCTTAGAAATCCAACCACACAGAGACTCTAAGCCCTAAATAACTTGAAGCTGCACTCTGGTTAAGCTTCCAGGATTTTCCCAGAAAGAGAGCCATCCTCCCTTCCGTACTAAGGGGAAAGAGCCCTGGGAAAGAAGAAGAGCTGGGATTTCCACCTGCCCCACGACACCCTTCACGCCTGCCCATCTGCCAACTGAGATTTCCGGTAGCTCCAGAGGAAGAAGGCACATCCTGTCTTCCTGGCCGTGTTCCCTGAGAGGCAGGAGAGCTCTACTAAACCAGACCAGGGCGGTGGGGGGGTCGAGGTTCGAACCCAAGGGCTGAAAGAAGCCAGTGAATTGCCTCAGAAGCCCATGGAATTTCTCCACTGCTACTGCGAACAAGTCGCTCTCTACCTTCCAATTTACACGGTTAACAAACAGAAAAATGAAGCACCTGACCAGACCCCGTTTGCAAAGCCCAAATAACCAATCTGAGTAAAAAAGAGGCAGAGGACTGACCCATACGACGCACAAAAGGCACGAAAGAAAAAGAATTCGCTGTTCCACCGGCTCCTCTAGCTGATCCGTTGCAACTGGGATGATAAACTTTACCTCCTCCTCAAGTTCAACACAGTGCGGCTGCAATCTCATTGTTTCTCAGCAGCCAGGTAAGGCGGCCTGACAGAATTCTCTTCTTCATGCTCGGAGTCCTATTCTCATGTAACGCTGATGTGATTACAGACTATTATTTCCTCACACCCACAGTTTGTAAGTGATAAAACCCCCAAATAGCTTCCAATGCAAAAATGCCTGCAATGATTTACTGCATCGTGTTCAGACTGGTGGCTTCGTTCTGACTTCGGGCCTCCACACAAGAGAATTATACCCCTACAACTAGTGTCTAATTAAAACATAAACCATGGGAGATGAAACCGCCCGCAAAGGAAGATGCATTTAAGGTTCACTTACTGACAAAAGACGCTTCATGAAACCTATAAAGTACTTTAACTACAGGAGAAGCAAATCCATGACCCAGATTATGGGGTTTCAAATTCTAGACATTTAAAAAAAAAAAAAAAAAAAAAAAAAAAAAAAAAAAAAAAAAAAAGGCAAACTTTTTTTTTTTGGAAACACAAGAGTTCTTTTATATAATGTACCGTGCTGGTCAAGCCTGGTCACCTCCCTCAGTGTTGAAGCGAGACACAATAAGGTAATAAGGGATTCTGTTCTGTTTCCAAAAGCTCAATGAGGAGGTCATAATTCAGAAATTAAAACTCAGGCTGCTTTTCACAGCTGCGGGGTCATGATGAGTCACCCTATCCTAAGCCAGGAGAGGCTGGCACTCCCCCTTCGTGAAGCTGCCTGACGCAGAAAGCCCAAGTGTAGCCTGCACCCAATGAGGGGGCAACACAGGGCTGAATGCCCAAGTTGTAGGTCACAGAAAGTCTGCAAGAAGGTACCTCAGGTCCTTAACAGTCACTCAGAACAGTCCAGTACGGAGTGCTCTACGAAACAGCCCTGACAGAACGATCATGAACACTTCTCTAAGAGTTTATGGCTTTTTTTATTCCCCCCACCTTCAATAGTCATTTAAGCAATTTCATCAGCCATTTAAACAATGGCGGCATGGGGTCAGGAAATCCTGTTCACTATGTATATATATCCCAGCTCCTAGGACAAGCCTGCTAGAGAGTAAGAGCTCGATAAACCTTTCTGGAAACATAAGACTCAAGTGCAAGCTCGCTTCCCACTAGGTTTACCCACATATGGCCTGCCTGTCCCTAACCTTATGAACATCCAGGGCATTTTAAGTGGAGTGCATGAAATCTCTATTGTTTTCTTAATGTAAATTACAGCTACCCCCATAAAACACTCCCCACAGTGCTAATCCAAAAGGGCTGGCTACCCTTCTCTCCCTCCCTCCCTCTCTCTCTCAGCAGTAAGCTTGCCAACATACCAGAGCCCTCCTACTCAATCAATCCACCTAGTTCCCTACAAGAAAATGGCACCCATCTGGAAATCCACGTGGCCTCATAGGGCCCAAACCTAATGACCCTGTCAGAGTCCCGTACCTTGAGCTAAATACTGACTAATTCCTTCAACAAAACACTTAATTCTCTGCAGCTCCAGCTGCACAGGCTCCCCCCCTTCCTCTCTATCACTCAGGACTCTCCCATTCTGTTCCCCCTCCCACCCGCTATATTCAATTATACATTCCCAAATCACAATTTTCAAATCAACTGATATTCCACTCATGCCTCCGAGTTGACAATTCCAAATAATCCCCTCCGACCTTCCCTAGACACCTTCAGGCCACGTGGCTCTCTGGGCAGATGGAATCACGGAAGATTGGACAGTGTGGCACTGAACAGAGAGAGATCCTTTCCTGGATTCCTTTGGGATGCTCCCCTAAAACCAAGTATCTAGTCCCTTCTGGTTTACTGGTCAGCTTAATAAAAGACGACAAAGAGAGGCTGTAGCCACTGTCAGCAGTCCAGTGGCTTTATTCTGATACAAATTCGGTCACCCAGAGTGTATCAGTTTTTTTAAGTTTTTATTTGAGAGAGAGAGAGAGAGCAAGAGAGCGAGCACACACACGAGCAGGAGAGGAGCAGAGAAAGAGAGGGATAGAGAGAATCCCAAGCAGGCTCCACGCCGTCGTCATGAAGCCCAATGTGGGGCTGGAACTCACGAACCATGAGATCATGACCTGAGCTGAAACCAAGAGTCGGATGCTTAACCAACTGAGCTACCCAGGCACCTCCCGAGTGTGTCAAGTTCTTTTTATGAATTTCCTTAAAGATTTTTTTAACCTCTTGCCATTGGGGTGTCATTAAGACCTGAGTTTTTACATTTCACCCCATTATTGGGGAAGCACAATTCAAGCCCCCAAACAACCAAACATACCACCTTCCCTCATTCCCATCCCCTAATTCCTTAACCTGTAGTTCCCCAACCACAAAACAAAATGCTCTGCAATATAAATAAGAATATAAATAAGATATAAATAAGAATATCTGGGTCTCCTGACCCAATTTTAAGAAGAAAAAGAACAACAACAACAAATCACAAGGATCTAGGTTCACTTTACTATTCTGACTACTAAAAGTCACTTTCTTCAGCAAATGGAAAATTGAGCATTAAGGCTTTACGAAGTAAAAGTGAAAAAAAAAGCAGAAGTGACAGGGATTTCTTATCACTTGGAAAATCTCTGCCATTCTTTGAAATAACTGGAGAATCTCTCATCAAAAACGGCAGCTGGTCAGGAATTAAACTTGAAATGCTTATGGTCATCATCTTTTATTGAAGGAAAAAAAAACAAACCACAGCATGACCCGTAACGGCTCCAAGTCTCATAATAAGACATGTGAGAACATGGGAGCGCCAGCCTAGCGCATGAAGACCCCACACTTGTGGGGGATGGCATCACCTGACAATACCCCAAAGCTCACATCCAGGTTGAAGATTTGCAAAGCCTGCTACCACCTCCTTTTAGTTTAAAATGGGTGGGAGGGGCGCCTGGGTGGCGCGATGGTTAAAAAGATCCGACTTCAACCAAAGATCGATCTCGGTCGGGAGTT